AGTCATTGATGTTAAAGTCCAAGTCAAGTTGCAAGCTTCTTTACATTTTGTCAAGTCGAGTCTAAAGTCATCAAATTGACGACTCGAGTCTGACTCGAGTCCAAGTCATGCGACTCGAGTCCACACCTCTGTTAAGCAGGCGTGATAACACTACTCTATGGAACCGCAAAACATCCTATATAGAGATGATGTGCCCTTGGCATTCTAAACACATTGAAATATTTTACAACATGATAAAAATGTGCAGATTTTTTTCAAGTTTTGAATTTCATATTTTTATCCTTTTTTTTTTTTTTTACCCATTTTTATTGACTTTATGAGGTGGGGGATGAGACCAGGCTTCAGTTGAAATGTCACCTGTGTGTGTGAGTGTGCGTTTACGTGTGGGTTCTGGCACGTCCAAGTGAAGTCACGGATCGTTGATGTTAAAGTCCAAGTCGAGTTGCAAGTCTCTTTACATTTTGTCAAGTCGAAGTCTAAAGTCATCAAATTGACGACTCGAGTCTGACTCGAGTCCAAGTCATGTGACTCGAGTCCGCACCTCTGCTGGCTGCTGTTGGCCCACGGTGGTCAATACTGTCTCGTAATCAGGAGGATAACCTTTCACCACATTCACAAAAAAAGGGCAGGGTTCACTGAGATAATACAGCATTTCATTGCGGGGGCCACGAGCCTCAACATGACACAGTGAACCAGGGATCAATCTCTCAGTACCTTCTATTTTACCTCCATGTCCTCGTGGATAAAGACATTGATTAAATTGGTGAAGTTGTTGCACTGGGATAAGAGTTCTTACAGCCTAAAACTGCATTAGAGCCAAACCAGCACTTATATATTGAAGTCAAAACCATGTGTCTGTGTGAAAGCCGTTAGGTTAAGGCCACTCTATTAAGATCTTAATCAAATGTACATTTGGATTAGCGCAGGAATTTGTTAAAAAGAATTATTTATTTCAGGCAATTTCAGCCTCCAGTGAACATGTCACAACAGCTCAGGGCTTTGATTGTTTTCCCAAACACTTATCAGTGGTTTTTGTCAGTCAGCATTTGCGTTGAAACCACTTACTTCAATTGAATCCAAGGATGTGCTTTTGTAAGCCGGTCGTAGGACAACATTCTGAGGGTTTGCTTTTGTTACTTCTAAAGTTTTCGTTCTTTCGATAACAAACTCGAGGTTTGTTTGAGAAATGGTATGACTGACAGCAACTGTCAAATGGATGGCAAGAGATTGTAGACATCAGCTTCTCCAAAGATCTGAAAGCAACTCTTGATGCCTTCTATGAGGAACCTTAAAGATGCACGGCGGAGACCAAAATCCATTAACTCTACAAAGCTGAATTTTGAGTTACACTTTTATATACTTTTGTGACTTTACGCTGCATCAATAATACTATCATTTGGGTGAGTCACAAATTAAAAAAAATGGCTGTGAAACATCCTGCTGTTCTCAGGCTTCCCAATCCAGCTTTATACAGAAAAACCTTTTTGTCATATTCTGGAATGGTGATCATCCCTGATTAATTCACGATAAATTACAATTCATCATGATTACCGTATTGTCCGGACTATAAGACAAAAATGCATAATAAAGAAGAAAAAAAAATATATATAAGAGACTCTGGAGTATAAGTCTCACCAGCCAGTATAAGACACTCTGGAGTATAAGTCTCACCAGCCAGCTAGAGTGCCCTCTAGTGGCTGCAAGTGTGTCACAAGTCACAACGCTGTAAAAGGATGAAAAAAAAAGTGTCAATTATAATCCGGAAAATATGGTAATCATTATTACGGTAATTATTAATTAAACCTTAGTAAAACGTTAATAGTTTGACAATAGTAATTATAACAATAAATTGTCTTTGTCGATTATAAATAGCCACAGCTACCTGTTCTAATTGTTTAACAGCCCGATCTAAAAGATAAAAGTAACAAAGGAGCAACTGTTACCAAATATTGGTCTTCTTTTTTTTTTAATTTATTTTACATTGATGCATTATTTTGCAGTTCATGTTGAGTTGGCCTTGTTGTGACTTTTTTTTATGTTAAGTACCAAAAAGCCAACTCTGTAGGTCATTCATGTTTCGGCAATCAGCGACCTGGAGCAACTGTGGTGTCTTTTCAAAATGACCAGATTCCACCATTACCAATGGCAACGCCCGATATGTTAATGCTGATGAAATAACCAAGTGACAGGACATGACATTGTGTTCACAAACGTGCATGGCCGCTAGCAAACATTTATTTTTTTTCCTAAGCAAATGATTCTGGTCGGCTGTCACTTTGATGGACTACATTAGACAGTCGTATGCAACCTGTTGTGTTGCTTCATGCTAAATGTCCTGTCAGGAGCAATGTCACCTCTGAGAGTCAGCTGTCAGATGAACCCTGCAGGAGATTGGAGCCGGTGTGATAAATCTGCCAACTGATTAAACGTATATAGAGAGCTGTGGCAGTTTCCATAAATCTTCGATGGCCCACACTTGGCCGGCTTGCGGCGCTAAATTAGGGTTTCAATATAGACTTTGATCATCACAGTTTATTTTCCGCTGAAGACTTTAAAAAAAAAAAAAAAAAAAAAGCGCTATTATTATAGAATTTGGGGCCAAAGTCATAAAGCTGTGGCTTAATAAGTAGGAAAAAGTGTGCATATTATCTCCAGGATGTTGGATAATAACTAATTTTTTTTTTTTTTTTTGGATGGGCATGTCTTTCACTCTCTGTAATGCTGCACTGATTTTTGCCGTAATATATTGCTTGTTCTTTATTTAATTTTTAGTTCTGCAGTTGTTAGGAAATACTGTCAGAGTGACCTTTTTAGTGAACGGTTGTATAAGTGCAGCTGCTTAGTGGAAAATCCAGTGGTCTCTCTCTCTCTCTCTTTCACCCTCTTCCTCTCTCTGCCTCTGTCTTGCCTTCTAATGTTTTTTTCCTCTTTTGCTCCCTCTTACGTGCCTTGGGATTTATCAAATTCTCGCATCGTGGGCCAATTTTACCCCCAAACCAGAAATCATGGCCTTAGATCAGTCAGTTGGCATTTTAAGATTTGTTGTGGAATTTTTTTTTTTTTTTTTTCTCTATTGCGAGTGATATAAATCCAACTGCTGTGGATATCTTCCTCTTTCCTCTCATTTCCACGGAGGAGTCTTTCAACTGTTGAACTCTTTTCAGTTTCAGTTGAAAGGTTTGGAATTAATTAGACATTAATGCAAATTTGATATATAACATAAGATACCTATAAATAACAGTAACTCCACGTTTTTCCCCCCATTTGTTCTCATGCAAATAAGTACAAATATATTTGGGAAAAAAATATATAGTTAATTAAAAATTTAATAAACATTACAAACATTTTTTTTTTCACTTTCCATATTCATCAAACGGGCCCCAGAGTGGGTCTGGTTTGGGCCTGCAAGCCGCATGTTTGACACCCATGACCTACATGGTTTTCAATATAATAGAAATCAATGCTCAAAAGATTGTGCAAATATAAGAATATTTCGGATCTTCTCCAGGACCAGATTCAAACCCCAAACATCAGAGTCAGACGTTCTTAAGCTACTACTCTGCAACTAAGTTGTCAACTTTTCCCGTCTTGTTTAGTGCGGGCATTTTAATTGAAAAGCTGGATTAAAAAAAAACAACCTTATCTTGAGCATTTTCCGAAAGAAGATGAAACTGTAGAAGCAGCCCTACTATGAAAGTAGCTGCAGCAGGGAAAGCAGGAAACCTTACCTTACTTCTCTTTGCGGAAGCACGACACACCGTTGTTGTCTGGTTTTACGGCAGTTCTTGAACGTCACTTTACATTCTTTTATTGGTGGATTACAGCAGTACTTCCCAAAGTTTTGTTGGGCCTCCTTCTGTTTCAAAAAAAAAAAAAAACAACAACAAATAAATCAAAAACAAAACAGGACACACTTTTATATATTTAGTTTTCAGACTCATTTATTTTCACAAATTTTGAAATGTAACTGTTTTTACGCATCCTTAAACTTGTCCATTTTATGCTAGCATCGCCAACTTTAATCAGTTGGCAGGAGTTACCGGGCGGGGGCG